TGGCATAATTTTTAGTGATGTCTACTTGATTGATCCAGAGCTGCTCAATCAGAAGACATTGTTTTGAGACTTTAACTCCATAATTTTAACTGTCACCTTATATATTTTTGTATTTTTGCACATAGTATTATCTATGAAACTTTGCTTCTTGTGAAGGATTTACTACTCAATATGAATTGGTCACACGAAGGCCCCCAGTGTGTGTTTTATATCTGACTCCACAACTGCATAGGCTTAAGAAAGAGCTTTTCATTGCGGACACACTTTGCTTTGAGAAAGAAGTTAGCCAGGACAGAAAACAAATTGACTGTTTATGTACTTGAGAATAATGTGAGACTGTTGTGATAATAAACGTTCCAGGCTTCAATCTCTTCTTATGATTGTTGGGAAGGTTCTGAGTTAGTCAATTGACATTAGAAGCAGCATATTTTTTTATGTTTGGGAATTTCTGTCTGGGACCATTATAAGTATGGGTTGTAGTATTAAGAACAAAATATGTTCAAAAACCAATAGATCTCTGTTGATTCTTTTGCTATGTTTTCTTTCCTTTTTGTTTAAAGTAAAGGAAATTGTTAATTAGTACCAGAATGCACTGGTATTGTACTTGTTTCAACCTCTTGTACTTTCAAGGGAAAAAAGTGAGTGGATTATCAGTTTGTGTATTAAGCAATATTAATATTGAGTTCTGTGACAACAACCGTAAGTGTTAAAAGTGTTTATTTTATTTATTACATGTAACCTTCCATTTGGGATGGGCTTGTTTAGATGGTTCATGAATGAACTATGAACTTTCATGGAAATCTTTTGCTATCTTGTATTATTTGATCCGAGCCAATTGATTTAAGTTGAATTCTATATGTTTAGTTTTATCTGTGTTTACTTGTTATGGAAAATTATTTAACAGCAAATGTTGGTCATTTGTAAATATTTGATAAACTTTAAAAATTTGAAAATTTGTTTGCTTTTGAAATTTTACTTTGTTTTATATTGTTCACATTCCATGTCATCTCTTTTTACTAAATACCAACAGTCAGAACTGCTTACAACAGAGAAACCTGGGTTTGTTACTCAGTTTGCCTGCTGTAAGTTTCATGGTAGTTGATCTCTGTTCTGTCCATTCTTTAATGGGATACTGTGCTAGACAAAAGAGACCCTATGAACAGGCTGTTTCATTTCATTCAAAATTGTGAAGACTGACAGACTTTGAAAACAAAATTACAAGTTTAATTGTATGACAATGAGTACTGATGTTGAAGGATCATGCCAGCTGACTATTGGAACCTTAAAATTATGTGAAACATTTTGTCTTAGACAAATGGTAGGATAATAATAAATATTTATAAAACCTATACTGATTTATAATTTAAACCCTCACTGCTTGTCAAAGCCAATGCTATGGAATTGAATTCCTCCTCATTCCATTTATGTTAGACTAGAAAACAGAAGACTAGTTTTTAAATATGACTGATGCTCAGTAGGCTCTATGGCGATAGAAACTTACAACACATACCGTAGCAAAAATTATCTCAAGTGACAAGAGAGTGAGTTGAATTCCACACAGCACAACCTCCAAACGAATGACATACGTTTGCCACAGTAGAAAATAAAGTACACCAATAGATGAAGGTATTGTGAGAATGAGAGAAATCATTACTGGATAGGATCGCTCTGTCAAGTTACCTTTGTGACCCATGAAGATGCGTGCAGATTCAATACAACACAAGAGTCCAAACATAATACTTTCAGAGAAAAATGTTCCAAATGGGTACGGTAAATGAAGCAGCTTGAAAATCCCAACACCCAATTCACACAGAGCAAACATCCAAAAATAATATGAATTTAGATAAAGTAATATTTCATACGTTAAAGAAGAATTCATGGTCGTCCCTGAAACCAAAAGCAAGAATATTTCACTTACAAAAATAGCTCACATTATAAAATGCATTTGTATATGTGAATCACTATTAAAGACCTGAACAAGGAGAATGTGAAACACAATGTCACCTTCAAGTAGTAAAAAAATCCCCGGTTACATAAATATCTTGAGGAGAAAGGTCAACTTTTTGAAAAGTGAGAAATTCTTCCAAAATCAGGTGCAGATCAGGTTAAGTAAAACAAACAGTCTGGCACCACAACAAATACATGCCGGGCGAGGGGGAAGGAGGTGGGGGGGGGGGCTCGGCGGTATTGGCACTCACGTACTGTCTGTCAATAACAACACCGTCATTCTAAATTCAGTTACTCATTTGTACACACCCTACTTCTTCGGAGTACTTCTTCTGCTTTTTTTTACCTTTATTTGAAAACTTCCAAAGTGAAGACAATATGGGCGTCACCAATATTCTATTGCGTGGTTTTTTAGTTCACCTAGTGTTTCTCTCATCTATATTTGACATTTATTTCAAGACGCCCATTGTACCCGGTATAACATCTAACCCAAATCCTGTGCCGGGTGCGGCTAAACGACTTGTTTTTATCGTTGCTGACGGCTTGAGAGCTGACAGCTTCTTCTCTCATGATATGAAAAGTACTCCATTTTTAAGGTATTTGAATTTTCGGATACTTTGTGCGTCTTTATTTCACTTGCTGCTACCTGTTTGGAACACCTGTTGACCCTATACCTGTTCTTGTTTGAAGGAGTAAGATACAAAACGGTGGGTCATGGGGTGTGTCTCATACGAGAGTTCCAACAGAATCCCGACCAGGTGTAGTTGCTCTAGCTGCTGGTATCTATGAGGATCCATCGGCTGTATTTAAGGTGTGTACCCTCAGTTACAATTCTTTTTGATTTCTACATAGACATTTTTTCGCATTGCGTTTTTGTGGCAGGGATGGAAAGAGAACCCCGTAGAATTTGACTCACTTTTTAATCAGAGCCACCACACATGGGCTTGGGGTAGTCCTGATATTGTGCACATGTTTAAACAAGGTTTGTTTTACTTTATTGCTGGATTCCACTTGTGAAGCCAATAAAGTTTGAAGCGACCCAGTCATTTGATTTCATATTTATTTTAACTGCCTCTGATTAGCTGAAGTCTGAATTGGGCATCTATTACAAAGGACTATGTTGCTTCAAACTTCATTGACTTTATAAAATAAAACCCATCAGGTATATGTTTTACCATCTGTGTTGTTTACCTTTAACTTCAAGCAGTAACTCAAAGCCGTATTTATGTTTGTAGCTCATGTGGAAACCATGGCTTATAGTGCAGATGATGAAGATTTTTCTGGCAAAGACTCTTCATGGAAGTTAGATGAATGGGTGTTTGACAATATCAAAATGTTTCTCAAGACAGCAGAGTCCAATGCTCATTTAAATGATCTATTGCATCAAGAAAAAAATGTTTTTTTTCTTCACCTTTTGGGTCTTGATACAGCAGGTCACACAATCAAGCCTCATTCTTTGTAAGCATTTCTTAATACCCTGTTCTGATCATGTATCATAGAATTATGAGCATACTTCTATTTAATGGTTTCAGTCACATTTAAAAAAAACTGTTTTCTACATAACAGAATGTATCAAACAAATTTGAAGGTTGTAGACCAGGGAGTCAAGGATATGGAGGAACTCTTTGAAAAGTTTTTTTCCGATCAAAAAACCGCTTATGTATTCACTGCTGATCATGGGATGACTAACTGGGGTATGATATTCCTTTTTCCTCTGTCATCCAACTTTCTGTTGTTTTTTTTTTCTAATCTCTATATTTTGTACACACCTGTGATCAGGTTCTCATGGAGCAGGAAGCCAAGATGAAACCGAAGTCCCTTTGCTTGCTTGGGGTGCTGGTGTTAAAAAAGCAAGTCCAGCAGGACTATCAGATCCCCCAAGCCCCTCCCACTGGAGCACACTGAAGCATTTAAAGAGAAATGATGTAAAACAGGCAGATATAGTTGTCCTTCTCTCTAGCCTCATTGGATGCAATATCCCAGTGAACTCCTTGGTAAGAGGTCAAAGTAGTTGAGCTCTACCACCTTGGGATACTTTCCTGAAAAGAAAAAAAAAATGTTCCTGTTAATTGTGCCTAGAACAGCATTTTCCTATTTTCCACATTACAGGGGAACTTACCACGAAATTATTTAGACTCGCCTAAAAAGAATATTGCAGAACTAAGCTTTCTGAATGCAAAGCAGCTTTTAGCACAGGCTGAAAGGAAAAAGGAATTGGTTCAAGTTGGCACATTATCTTTTCGGCCATATTGGAAACTCGCTCCAGAAGAGGTACAGGAAAGACTAAGAGAGATTAAGATGTACCTCTCTTCACAAGATTATCCAAAAGTTGTAAGTTAAAATCACTTCTCTAGCACTTTTCTTTTCCTTGGCTAATTTTTATATTTTGGTCTGATATGCAGATGTCTCTTTCTGATGAACTGAGTTCCCTCAGTATTGATGCACTGGACTACTATCATAATTATTACCAAGGCACTCTCTTGACTTTTGTTTCGCTATCTTTTATTGGGTGGATTTCTTGGTTGTTTTGTAATCTGAGGAATTACAAATTAAATCGATCATCAAAGTACATTCATGTAGGGTTTGGAATAACTGGTATTGTTATATTTCTCCTAATCCAAGGTAAATTCACGGAGTCTCAGCCATAATATTTACCACGTTCTGTTTTCTACTGTTTTAAGCTCTCTTTTCTCAATGCAGGTCAAGGTTTGGAGTGGCAATTCAATATTTACCTTCTCCTACCAATCATCCTCTGGTGGAGAGTCTTTTGCAGGATGCATTCATGGATAGCTGCATTCAAAGCAAAACAAAATAATTTGTTGAACTTAATTTTTGCTTGTTTAATGTTAGTTCTTTTGACAGAAGTTTTGGTAAGTGTGATTGATACCTTTCCAATAACAATTACCTTCCATAGTTTTTTTAACTTGGGAATTACTGAGGACAGTTTGTATAAATGTGCTTCTTTGCAGGTTGCAGCATTTTTTCAGAGGTGGATTTTAAGTTTTGGAGTGTTAGTTTGTTCTTTATGGCCTTTCTGTAGAAAAGAAAAATTGAAGATAATTTCTCCGACCGCATTGTTGATCTGGCTGTTATCTTGTGTCAGTTTAGCTGTTTTCCCACTTTTGCCTGTAATTGGAAGTGAAAGCAACATAGCACTTGTGTTAGTTTTCAAATTTCTTGAAGCACACTGAATTGTGTTTTATATCCACTTAATTTTTTTTTCTTTCTATTCTATTTCCAGAATATTTTCAGGATTTCTCTGGCTGGCCATGATAATTGCTTCACTTTATCTTGTATATGAACGAGTACCAATCGCCAAGGTTGTAAATGAATCAGGGCCTTTGGCAGGTGCTATTTTTGTGGTTTTTCTTGTAACAGAGAGTTTAAATGCAGGATATGGTCTGCCTCGTCTTCTTCAATTCCTAGCGTGGTGTTTACTATGTGAGAAATTTTGATACATTTTCTTCCTGTTGCAGTGGGGCACATGCTCTGATCTAGTTGATCCAATGTGTTTCCATTATGTTTCAGTTAGTCCAATTGCCATATGTTCAAGTGCCAGTAAAACCATTCCTAAACGCTTGATTAAGTTACATGCCATATTGATTGCACCTTATATACTCATGAGTGTTCGCCACGAAGCTTTATTTCTGCTGGCTTTGTGTTTTCATCTTAATTGTTGGCTTGTACTTGAAGCCAAACTTAGTGGATATTCTACAACTCAGGTATTTTGTAAATCCAATTATTATAAAATGAACTGCTTTGATTTGATGTCTCACCAACAAGGATGGGCTTTCATTACAGCTTAAGTTTTTAAAATTTCCACCACCCAAGTTGGAGGAAAATGATCATAGACATTTATACCTTGAAGATTTTCGACGAGCTGGTCTCTTTGTATCCTTTGCCTCAGTACTGTATTTTTAAGCAACCTGTAAATCCACACCAATTTCAGGAAATTTACCTTAACAATATCAATCAGGTGTTCTACATTTTTCTTTCTTTTTTTGGAACAGGCAACATAGCTAGTTTAAACTCCTTTGAAGTGACTTGGGTTCGATGTTTCTTGTCAGTATTTTCACCCTTTACAATGATGACTTTAATCTTGCTTAAAGTGCTCATACCATTTGTAATAGTAAGCAGTATTTTCCGAGCAGTTAATATCACTGTCCAGGTGTGAGAATTTACAGTAATGAAATTAGAATTTCTAAACCAGGTGATCATAGAAACTAAAATCAGACTCATTCATTCTTTACCTTTCAGGCTCCAACAGGATCTATGTTCATAGCAGTATTGATCTTATGTGACATGATGGGTTTGCAATTTTTGCATTTGGTCACAAATGAAGGCAGTTGGTTAGACATAGGAACATCTATATCCCATTTTGTCATAGTTCAGGTATGAAGTCACAAATGTGAAGTCAAAAGACATAAAGTCCTCAAAATCCCTTTCAAATTTTCATTTGATATTCTTGCAGGTGACTGTACTTGCTTTGGTTCTGCTGTACGGTATTGCATCAGTCCTGACTGGATCATCTCTAAGTACCATTCGCAACAATCTCCTGAGAGGTCCTTGAAAATGGAATGGAGAAGATGATACTATAATAGAGCACTTAACTTATATTTCTGGGATTATATAAATTTTATCTGATGACATTTATTTATATAATAATAATCTTTAGCCAAAGAATACTTACCGTATTTTGAAACAATTTGTCCTGTTAGTCTTTGATCTCAATTAAGTTGACATTTCTAGTCCAGAATAGTAAGGGTGTGTGGAGAACCTTCCTCTTTTTTCTTACTTTAAGTAATCCATCAAATAAATTAATTTTTGGACAATGTTTTGAGTTTATTATCATTTCTAAGTGTAGTAAAATGACAAAATGGATCTTAAATCATGACAGCATTTCATAATCTACCATTTTAATTCCATATGTACAATTTTAATTTCTGACTTGTCAAACATAGTCTATACACACGCACGTAACAAAACACACAACGGGAAAATTACTTACACATGCAATTGGAGTGTAGTCTATACAATTAATACACAAACTTCACTACAAATGAAGAGTGAGGTATCCTATTTTCAACTGAAGTAAAACTAGTTATTTTGTGGCAGTCTGTTCTTCTTTTGAGAGGGTTTCTCAAAATTTTGTTTCATACCAGCGGCTTGGTTAGAATAGAACTTGCTATTTTGAGCTGTTTCCGATACCCATGGAGACTCAAATTGAGTTGTGTCCTGATCAACCAAATGTGTGTATTTTGTTCTTCCACTGCGTCCAAAGTTTTTGACCTGAAAAGAAATTTAAAATCAAATATAACATGTTCAGAAAACAACAGAGATCGAGTAAGTTCTTGTAAAATATTGTACATTACCTGCATAACTTTGGGAAGAATAGTTTTATCAAAATGATCCTCCAAAGTGGCGGCGGAGAAGTCTCTTTTAAATATATCTTGTTCATTGTCCTAAAAAGACATCAACATCTCATAAATAAAATTGAAACAACCTTGGATACAAATAATGCTTTGACGAGTTCCATACCAAGTAAAATGCTCCACGATGATAGTATTTCTGAAGAAACTTGTATTTTCCTTTCGCAGAACGATTTGTAATAACCTTAGGATTATTACGGAACTCTAATCTTCTCTCTTCTTCGGTCATATTTCGTATGCGTTCCAGTTCAGCTCTCTCTCGTAACATTCTGCAATGTTACATTAAGTTATAATTAGGGTGAAACAGATGAGCTATAGATGAAATAGATCAGGATTCAGGCATTAACTTACGCTTCTCTTTCCTCTCTGTCTCTTTTTACTCTCTTAAGCTCACGTAACTTCCATGCTTCATATTCCACTTCATCATTTTCATCATCAGTGTTGACATCAGCAAGTTTTGGTTCATCCCCATCTTTGACAACAGTTGATTCTTTTCTTACAATATCTTCTACCAACTAAACAAACAAAAGAAAGAATGTTAGGAAATTATTAGAGAAGAAACAATAGGTGAACAATTACAATTAATTTGTAAGTACCCGCAAAGAATTTCGTTTTCTCTCTTCTGCCATTTTCTTTGCTTCCAATTCGGCTTGCTTTTCTTTCATTTCCTCCTTCTCTTTTTCCATAATGGTAATTCGATCTTTTTTCCTGACAAACACAGGTTTTAATCTAGGACCCATTTCTTCTTCTGAATCTGGATGAGTAAAAAAGTGAGAAAAAAGGGTTACAAAAAAGATAATTCAACACGAAAAATGATTTATGAATTTTGAGAGGTGTAACTACCTGTTTCTTCTTCATATTCTGAGGACTCTTCTCCACTTTCTCCCATACTCTGTTGATCTTCTTCTTTGACCATCACCTCTGGTTCCTGAAAGGAAAAATTCCAAATATGCAATAGCACACTTTCAAATTCTCACCGTTGATATGTTTTCTGTATTGTCAGAGATTCAAATCAATGAGCTACCTGTTCCTCTTTCCTTGCAAGTAATTTCTGTCGAAGAAGAAGTCGCCTTCTTTCAATTTCTTCATCACTGAGCTCTTCTTCATCTTCAGATTGACTACTGTCAGCCTCTGCTCTTCGTTCTTGTCTTCTCCCCTCAGGTTCCTCAACGATTTCCTCTGCCTCCTCCTCTGAAGTTTCAATGACCTCAGGCTCATGGATGTGCCTTCATGGAAGGGATAGAGAAAAGACATTAACAGGGCAGATAGAAATTCAGTACCATTCTATGGCATAAATTAAATGAGAGGTAAATTTAATAATAATGAAGACTATACAAACCCACCTATGTCTCTCTCTTCGGTCTTCATCCTGTTCATTTTGAGGAGCATGTCGAGTCATCAACCTACGTAATCGAGGATCATCAGCTACTACTTGCTCATCATACAATTCTGTAGGAGATTCAGTGTGACGAGGCGGAGGGCGTGTCGGTCTGGATACTGGAGCTCCTTGCTGCTCGACAAAATCCTCCTCTTCTGATTCCTCTTCACTACTTGACATGGGAGCATAATCCGGACGTTTACCAGAAACATACCGATGAACTTTAACTTTCTGCATAGAAAGTTCACCTAGCAGAAGACAAATAAAAACTTAAACATTGAATTTACAAGTCGCAAGTGTTATGATTTATTGAAATAATGGAAGTGGCTATGAGATAGCCCCTTGACCAAACTGTTTGTGAACCAGTCATGATTGATAGCACGAAAAATCTTGAGTGAGGCAAAGATATCAAACTATTTGAAATGTGCGGGTCACTTAAAAATATCCACGCGACTGTTTATTAAAATTATAAACGCAATACGATATTTTGGTTTGTATTGGTTAGACGTACCTTTATCATTTTTTACTGGAATAGCACCAGCCGTACTCTGAATCGAGGCGGTCATCGCTGCGTTGCTCATCTTGAGCGTTTTAAGGCGCCTCCTCTAAAGATATCAAAATTTCACTATCCTCGAAAAGTGCCAAAAGTAAACACCAGAAAAGACCCTACTTTCTAACCTATCAGCCCATCGGCCTATACCTTATTTTTCTTTGTTGTTGTTGATTGGATGTTGTGTTTATGTTGTTGTTCTTACTCTTCTTCTTGTCGTCCTGCACGGGAGGACTCGCGCTGAAAGCCGGAAGCGCCAGACACTCGTCACTTGAATTTTCACAGACCGATTAACTCATCATTTCAGAAGTAAGCCCACTTTGCCTGATATTTGTTTGTTCTTTCGTTTACATTGCTGCCGTAAAACCCTCGTTGTCTATAGTTAGTGGTGTGGGTGTAGACTCAATGTAAACTAACCCCCTAAAGTATCCTGTCCTGTCATGGGGTTTCTGGGTCGGTGTTCATTCCACTTGCGCAGCTCGCGCCTCCACCAGCTGTTGCCAGTTAAATTAAGGCTGGAACAAGGACTTTCGTTTCAGCGCTGTCGTCTGCTCGTCGATAGAGTACATGTACCTTTAATTTCCATTACAGATTTCAGAGTTTAGATTCCTAAATGTCTGTATGGCAGTCCGATCCTGGCACTGCCGGCTTCGTGATATTCACGACCTTCTATTCATGAATGTTCAACTATCAATACCTTCATTTATGTTATTGATTTTTAAAATTCTTGTACATGATACAATTTTAGATTTCCATTGTATTGCTATGAGAGAATAATTTCATAAACTCCCACATTTAAAACTCAAACTTAGAGTAGCTTTTTCTTCGACAGTTTGCTTCATCTAGCAGTAATCTTGTGGACGTCAAAATGAAACAAGAATATCCTGCTGCAAGACGGGATGAAACTGTGGTCGAGGAGTTTTTTGGAGTGAAGGTAAACAAGCCTCATCAAGTTTTATTTCCCTTTTTCTAAAGTTTTTTTTTGTCATAATTCTCTATCCCTTTGTTTTTGTCATTAGGTTGCTGACCCATACCGTTGGATGGAAGACCCTGATGCTGAAGAAACCAAAGCATTTGTTGATGCCCAAAATGCCATATCTAGACCTTTCATTGACTCCTGTCCTGTACGGAAAGACCTTCACAGCCAGTTGACCAAGCTGTGGGATTTCCCAAAATATACTTGCCCTCACAAAAAGGGCAACCGTTATCATTTCCGAATGAACACTGGTCTTCAAAATCAAAGGTAAAATTGAAAATTGTCTTAGTACATCCATCATACAGCCTTAATTTTATATATTTAAGAGGCAACTTTTATTTGATTCCCACTTCTGTTTTTAGCGTTCTTTACAATCAGGATACCTTGGATTCTGAGCCTCGTGTTTTCTTGGACCCTAACCTTCTGTCTGATGATGGCACTGTTGCCCTGTCTCTTTCAAAGTTTACTGAAAATGGAGAGAAATTTGCTTATGGCCTTAGTCATAGTGGATCTGACTGGAACACTGTCCATTTCAAGGATGTTGAAACTGGTACATTGACATTTAAATTTGTTTTTATCGAAATTTTATGTGCCTTACTGAACTTATTAATGGATTGCAGGTGATGACTATCCAGAAAAATTAGAAAAAGTCAAATATTCTTCCCTTGCCTGGTCTCCTGACAATAATGGAATTTTCTACGGAGTGAGTTACACCAATTCCTCCTAATAGTAAATATTGTTTCAATTTGGTTCCATATTTCATTAATGAGGTTTCAATTGTGTCTTCTGTTTACAATAGTGCTACCCTGATCAAAATGGCAGATTTGACGGATGTGAAACTGAAGGTAGCATAAACCATAAACTCTACTACCACAAGCTTGGTACCCCACAGTCAGAGGATATTTTGGTTGTTGAGTTCCCAAAAGAGCCCCTTTGGCGAATGTAAGACAACAATTTCACATTCCTATCTGCAAAGGCCATTGGGTTTTGGTCTTAAAATCACATTCTATTTATCATCTTATCTTTCCTTCTGCAGAGGTGCTGAGCTCAGCGACTGTCAGCGATACTTGATTGTGACAACAATGAAAGATTGCAGAGACAATATGGTGTTCATTTGTGATCTAGAAGCTCTACCTGGTGGACAGATAACAGAAAAATTACCCTTAATTCAAATTGTTCATGAGCTGGATTCTGATTATGATGTAAGTTTGTGAGCTGTTCATAAAAAGCCTCCTTTTATACTTGATGACTACTGTTTTAAATGTTTCCTTTTGTGTTTATAGTATGTCACCAATGAAGGAAAGGATTTCATTTTCCATACCAACAAGGGAGCACCAAACTACCGACTTATTAAGATAAATATTGATGACCCTGGTAAAGATAAATGGGAAACTCTTGTTCAAGAAGACAAGAAAGATGTATTGTCCTGGGCTGTTTGCGTTGCCCAAAATAAATTGGTACTCTGTTACATACAGGATGTAAAGGTTTGTACATCTCAAACATCTTGCACTCCTTTATAAAAACACAGGTTTTTGCCCCCTCCTGCTTTCTAATGTATATATAGCTGGCGTATGCAACCTTGTCTCTGTTTGTTTATCTGTCTGTTTCACTAGACGGATATGAGGCAGAGACTTTAAATTTTTAGGGTATCTTGGGGGTCACTCCCAGAGACTAAAACATCAGCTGAAAATCCTTGCAACTCCCATTAAGGGGGTGAAAAGCGGTTGGCCCGAATATAAAAACCCACCATACCCCAAACTGCGCTCAGAGCAGCAAATCGGAAGGGCGGGCCTGCTTGTTTAATATGCTCGACTAACATTGTGTTTTTCTTCTTTCTTTGAAAGAGTGTTCTACAACTTCACGACCTTGGCTCAGGAGAACATCTAAATACCTTTCCGTTAGATGTGGGATCTATTGTTGGATTTTCTGGTCAGAAAGATCAAACTGAAATATTTTATCAGTTTACCAGTTTCCTTACCCCAGGAGTAATTTACCATGTTGACCTCACTCAATCTACCATTGAACCAAAGGTGTGATAAGATTTTAAGTTTTTCTAAACGTTTAATGTATCTTAATATTTACACATTGTGTGTGTAATTAACATAAATTTGTAGGTTTTCAGAGAAATTAAGGTGGGAAATATTGATTTGAATCAGTTTGAGACCACTCAAGTATTTTACAACAGTAAAGACGGTACAAAAGTGCCTATGTTCATTGTCCATAAAAAGGCAAGTTTTGTGACAGATTTAAATTCCTAATGCTTACTCAAATTTTCTTCTAAGTTACTAACATTGTATTTCTCCTGCTTTAGGGCTTGGTGAAAGATGGAAAAAACCCATGTTTGGTCTATGGATATGGAGGCTTCAATATAAGCTTGCAACCCACATTCAGTGTGACCAGGCTTATCTTTATCCGTCATCTTGGTGGAATTTTAGCCATTCCCAACCTTCGTGGAGGAGGGTAAGATCATAATTCTGTTATCAGAAAAACCAACATTTCTATAGCAAACATATGACAGATGGAATCAAATTGTTTTTGCTTAATTTCAGAGAATATGGTGAGAATTGGCATAATGGTGGCAGACTGCTTAACAAGCAAAATACTTTTGATGACATGGCATCTGCTGCTGAATATTTAATTGATCAAAAGTACACATGTAGAGACAAGTTAGCTATTCAAGGAGGCTCTAGTGGAGGCATGACTGTTGGTGCGTGCGCTAATCAGAGGCCTGAACTCTTTGGTGCTGTAATTTGTCAAGCGGGGTAAGCTTTTCTTTTTCTTTTTTCTTTTTTTTTCTTACCTTTAATAATTTCAATTTCATTGGATTGTATTTATTCATTTGAATGTTTCTTGTGAATGTTATTAGAGTTATGGACATGTTGCGTTTCCACAAATTCACAATTGGCTACTGCTGGGTGTCTGACTATGGAAGCCCTGACGAGAAGGAACATTTTTTCAACTTGAAAAGCATATCTCCACTTCACAACATTAAAGTACCAGAACGCAATGATGTTCAGGTGAGCAAAGCTGTTATCTAATTATTGTTTTCTGATTTGGTTTTGTGTACGTATGTATTTGATTTAGTATCTGTCCTTCTGTCCATCTAGTATCCAGCTGTCCTAGTCTTCACTGCAGATCATGATGACAGAGTTGTGCCACTTCACTCTTTAAAGTACATAGCTGAACTGCAACATACCATTGGCAAGTCTGACAAGCAGGTAAGTTGTGAGAATTATTTATAGATGGAAGAAATGTAATTTCCTATTTTTGTTTTATATGGTTTGTATGTATCTCTTCTTAGACTAACCCTCTTCAAATCTACATTGACACGAAGTCTGGACATGGGCATGGGAAGCCAACAGCCAAAGTGGTAGGTTTTGCTCTATCCATTCTTTCTTATTGTACTGATTTCTAGCTTCATAAATATCATTTAAGGTCCATCATCTTCAATTCATGACTTGAATTAATTATATAATGTTCACTTTTGTTTTTGACTTACAGATTGATGAATGCGCTGATATTCTTAGTTTCCTATGGAAAACATTGAACCTGACCTATTTTAAATAATGCCAATGCCTGTAGAGTCATAAGAAGTTTACAGTGCGCACATTTTTTACCTTTTCTCCAGATGAAAAACTATTTTACTCGCATGTTTTGTCATTTAAACAAATATTATAGATAATTTGTAGAAAATAAGAATGAAAATGAGAGTTTCTAACACAAATTACCTGTATAACCATCTGATTTACACTATTTGCTGTGTTTACTGGTTATGTTTTCATAAGAACTTGCTTGGCTCACACTTCTTACTCAAAAGTCTGAATTCTCATAATGTTGCTATACATAATAGCTTGTTTATTTTTTAGAAGGATGTGTTGTAGCATATTCTGAATCTTCAATCCCAGTGCCGGTGGTATTACGCAAACCCTAATTATTTTGTCACATATAATGTATTAAATATCTATGAAGATTTTGCTGTGATAAGATAACTATTAGGCTTACTGTAATTCTTGTGGTGTAATGTATGCTTAATGATCTGATAAACCAATGTTAATATTAATATTGTGATACATACTACATAGCAGCAATTTTCAAGTCATGTTGGTGCCATTGTTCATTATGTATTTGTGAAGTAATCAGTAAGTGTGAAAGAGGAAAGTTGCACATTTGGCTTCTAAAGTTAAACTTGCAACATCAGTTGGACTGAGAATAGGTCTCCTATTTGAGGCTGGCCCAGATTGAAATAAATGAAGTGAAAAGGGCAGCCTACTACTCTTGAGTTGTCAGTACAAGTCAATGTTTTCCATGTACTGGTATTACTCACATTCATGTTATTGAAATCATTTAACGAATTATTATCTTTAATTAGCAGACTGAGTAATCAATTTACAAGGTTTGACTAAGATCACCATTTCTACAAGTATGGATTGGAGTATTTGGGAAGTAATACAAAGTTTTTTGTCAACATACCAATTCAGCATTGTGCATTTACTCAAATTGCGGCTCAATAAATAAAAGTATTAAATATGTAATTGCTGCCTGAACTACAACTCCTCAACCTTCAATATGTCATTCTCATCAGAAGTCCATCAGAAGGGAAAACTGTAATATCAAAAATCTGGTTAAATAATTACTAATGCAAATTGCTGCATGGAGCTGCGTTACCAGGGTTAACATTTTTCTCTAAAGTCTAATAATATCACAGAAGACACATTTTATGAGGAAGCATTCAATATGGATCCTTACACATTGTGTTTAATTTGAGGGGTGCCAAGGGGTTCTCATAGTTTTTCTTAAACCTTTCTGTAAAAAAAACAAACAGCAACCTAAGGAGCGTTTGTAAGGGTTGGTTAATTGTGTGTAAGTGCAACGCAGTGCAGTGCAGTGCAGTGCAATGCAGTGCAGTGCAATGCAGTGCAATGCAGTGCAATGCAGTGCAATGCAGTGCAATGCAGTGCAATGCAGTGCAATGCAGTGCAATGCAGTGCAATGCAG